TCTCTACGCTCCAGTGCAATCTTCAGAGTTTCTTCTGACATCCATTTTGGTCTTTTCTTCCTCTTCTATCTTTGTAATGACCGTTTACACTCTTACTGAAAAACTATTAGCTGAGGCTGACAAATTTGTGGTGTTAAAACAACTGACTTGAAAGTAAAATAATAGACTTCAAAATCTTCCGTATAATTTCCTAAAATAACATTTCCATGTTCATTTACTCCTCACTTATTCTTGTTATCTGACATCTAACATTTACAATAATAATAAAAAGCTGCCCAACTACTTTGTGCAATTTTATGCATATCTAGTAGAAATGAATGTGCAAGTGAGGCAAGACTTACTGTAATAGTTATGGTTCTATCAATGTGACTAGCCAGAATTCTCAGTACTTTGAGAGTTATAATTTGTAAGTTATATTATGATGTTATCATCTTCTTACAACAATAATCTTTGGAAACATTCCATGCAGATAAATGAAGAGTGGCTATAAGAGAGTGGTATATAATATTTGGAAATAAGAAGAAAATATTCACATAGGCTTTCAAGATAATTTTTTCTATGTACAATGTTCAGCAAACAAAATTTATTCATGGACTTTACCAAATTGAATACATAGGAATGAAATTGACTACATTTATAGGAAGAGATGATAGAGAATATCAATATTATCAATCAGAACAAGAACAGGGATCAACTGTGCAGCTATCAATTACTCATATCCAAGTCCAGACTGAAGCTGAAGAAAAATAAGTCCATAAGACGCAAAATATGAGCTTGAGTGTATCTCATTTGAATTTAAAGATCATCTAAAAATAGATTTGTTTAAATGAAAAATAGATTTGTTAGCATTTTATATTAATGACTAAAGACTAGATGAGTTGTAAAGACCTATCAAGGACATCATACATGAAGAAAGCAAAAGGTCACTAAAAAGACTGGAAAGAAAGAAAGGGGAAAAAACCAAAGTGGATGTCAGAAGAGGCTCTGAAACTTACTCTTATAGGTGTTGTTATTGTTGTTATGTACCATCAAGTTAGAACCAACTAATAGTTGACTCTCCACTATATTTTCAGACAGTAAATTTCACAAGAAGAAATTGCCCATCTTTCTGCTGCAGCGTAGCTAGTGACTTTGATCCTCATGCCTTTGGGCTAACTGCACAACTACTTACCACAGAGTCACTAGAGCTCCCTGCTCTTGAAGGTAGATCACCCACAGTAAAAGGAGGAAATGATGAAGTAAGAGAACAGAATGGACAAATGTTTAAAAAAAAACTCTTTAGAGTACAGCCAAGTATTATAAAGAAATGTTCAAAGACCCGAAGTTAGAAAACCAAAAGGGAAAGCACACTTGGCATTTCTCAAGCTGAAAGAACTGAAGAAAATACTGAAACCTTGAGTTGTTATACTGAATGTTTCTATGGGCAAGTATTGAGTGATGCAAGAAGCATCAAAAGATGATGGGAAGGATTACACAGAATCACTGTACCAAAAAGTATAGATCCACACTGAAGAAGTCCAACCTGCACTGAGGACATTGACAAAAATAAGACTGTAATTATTGACAAAATATCAATTGACGTGTTTCATCAAACAGATGCTGCTCTGGATGTGCTAATTTGTCTATGCCAAGACATTTAGAAGACAGATCTATATTTGTGCTCATTCTTAATAAATGTGATTCAATAGAATGTAGAAAATATCAAACAATACCATTACTATCAGACACACATCTTTCTGAAGATTATCTTGAAATTACTAGAGCAGTGTATACATACATGGAACTAATAGAAGAAAATCAAGCTGAATCAGAAGTGACCAGGCAATGAAGGATGTTATTGCTACTGTCAAATGAAATCTTGGCTAGGAGTAGACTATATAAAAACAACAACAACACATGTTTATTTATGTTTTATTGACTATGCAAAAACATTCAGCTATATGGATCATAAAGTATCAATAACATTGAGAAAAAAAATCTCAGGGCTCTTAGTAGTGCTTATGTGGAATTAGTACAGAGATCAAGAATCAGTATTTGATTTTGAAGTCTGTTGTTGTTGTTATTGTGTTATGTGCCGTCAGGCAAGTCACTTGCAACACATAGCGACCCTATGTACAACAGCCCTGAAACCTGTTCTATCCTATGCCTACTTTATTATCTCCAAAACACCTACCTTCATTACTCCGGTCACTGTATCAATCCATCTCATCGATTTTATGGAAATAAACTGTAAATCAATCTTGTCAGTCAAATTATTTTGCTTATGTAGGGGAAGGAAGAGAATGAGTATTAGATTTTTACCTTCAGGAAAAGCATAAGTCAGCTTTTAACATTCTCTTTTTGGCTAGTTAACAGCTTCTGGGTAAGTGTACATCTGATTCATTACTTGAATACCCTATGATATGAAAGTAGTGACCAGAAATAATATTAAAAAATTGTCAGAAATATCAAGGGAAGAAGTACTTAGATAAAACAAAAACAGACAAAATAAAAAATAAAAAATCAATAATTTGGCAAAAAAGTGTTGGAAATTAGGCAACACATTGATGTCCAAGTAATGAATAAAAGGAGAGGATTCATATATTTCTTTTTACCAGTTCTTTACTAAAAAATGTTACAAAGTAGATGGGTTATTTACTTTAATGTTATGGGTTATACATCAAGGTAAATCGAGGAAAAGGATGCAGAGCATTTGGTTTCTTATTGCAAAGTGCCCTTTTGAGCTATGAGTTTGCTGCCATTTTTGAGGACTTTTTTTCTTAATTGAATAATATATGGTGGGCTATGTGATCTTTTCAATTATCCCTTAATGTTGATATCAAGAAAATATTTTCCAATGATACCATGTAGGTTCTTGTATCCTATTAAAAAAAGAACTCACCTCAATAATAGTCTATACATTTCAAGCTTTTAGTTTGTAATTTATTTTAATATAAATATTCATATTTGTTTTAAGTAGTTTTTTACTTTAAAACTCTTTAGACTAATATTTGTGCTACTTTTTATAGGACGGCCAGCAGAGGGGACTTCGTGTTTTCTGCAGATCGTTTGGTAAGTGAAGGCTTTCCATTCCCATTTCTTTGTTATATTTTTTAACAAAGTCCAAAGGCCATTTTTGTTTTACAGTATTCTGGGAGTAAAGGAGATTGTACCAACTAGCTATTATCTTGTTAGGCTTCTGAGATGTGGTTTCCACTCTTGACTAAACCTCTGTGTCAGTCTTTTTCACTCCAAACCATCACCATGAACTCAGTTCCTGTAATAGTCAGGTACTGTTCAGATGAAGCTTGGTAACGTTGTCCTCAAAAACGGAAACAAATCCATTCTGGTCACGTCTATTCTGGTCACATCTTTATTCCAAGGAGTAACTGGTGAATTTGAACCACTGATTTCTTGTTTAGCAGTCTGACATGATACTGTTCACTAAAGTGCCTCATCTTGGAGCAATAAAGTGAAACATACACGAAAAGAAAAGCAAGGGACACACTGTAGCAGCTACCATATTGTCAGCAGCCCTGGATCTGTACCAGGTACATGTCTTTAAAAGATCTTAGTGTCGGCTAGAGTGACTGCCCTCTTGCCTAGAGCGCTAGACAGAGGCCCCTTTGCCTGGAGGCCTCGGCCCCTCTGCCTGGTAGCCACAGCCCCACCACCTGAATCCCTGAACCAGGTACCTGGAGAACCTAACCCTGCCACCTGGATGATCCCGCTGGCTGCCCCAGTCCCTTGGGATGGAGGACCTGGCCCCACAGCCCTGCCACCGGGATGCTCCCGCCCACCATCTGGAATCCCAGTCCTGCCAACTGGAGGACCTGGCCCAACAACCTGGAAACCCCACTGCCTGGAAGATGACCTGCTGCGGCCCCTCTGAACTTCACTGAGAACAGCAGTACCACAGGAGAAGCCATTTCCTCCCTGTGCTCCCAGAGTTGAGCTGCCTTTAGCCCTAGGCACCTTAGACCCACATAACATAGCTACAGCAGTTGCCTGACAGAGAGGGCTGCCAATTCACAAGCCATATCCCTCCCCGACTGAAGCAAGTATTCCCTTGAATCAAAAGTTCTGAGAGGAACTCAGGCAGTGTAGCTACCCTTCCCTACTCTGGAGCAGTGACTTCCTGAGCCAAGGTTTTCAGACTAAGAGCCTTCCAAGGCCTCAAGCATAAGAAACTACCACAGCAATGTCATGGAAGGAGCAGACTACCTCATACCCTAAATAAACCCAAAACAAGATATCACTTCCAAAAAGTTACACAGTATCAATGGATTTCCTGAAGCCAGAATGCCTGATGGAATTTTCTAACACAGAAGTCAAAGAAATAATTATTGAATATGTGCAGTGGGTAAAAGACAAACTCAAAGAACTACAAGAATCTGCAAGCAAAAACCAAGAGAAACTTAAAAAAGTAATCCAAGACAATCTACATAAAATAAATGAGGCATTAGAGGTTCTAGAAAAACAAGAAACTAGAACTATGAGATATCATCTCACACCAGTCAAAATAGCAAAATTTAACAGAACAGCAAGCAACAAATGCTGGCGAGGCTGTGGAGAAACTGGAACCCTTATTCACTGTTGGTGGAAGTGTAAATGGTGCAACCACTGTGGAAGTTGGTCTGGCGCATTCTCAAAAAGTTGCAAATAGAGATACCATTTGACCCAGCAATTCCACTACTGGGAATATACCCCAAAGAGACCATAACTGCCACCCTAGCAGATATATGCACACCCATGTTCATTGCAGCTTTGTTCACAGTAGCAAGGATTTGGAAACAACCTAAGTGCCATCAACAAACGAATGGATAGAGAACCTGTGGTATATTCACACAATGAACTACTACGCTGCATTGAAAAATGAGAAACTCATGCAATATTATTCAAAATGGGTGAGCCTGCAGGACATTATGCTGAGTGAAGTATCTCAGTCACAAAAGGACAAATACTGCATAGTGCCACTGTTGTAGAATGGGACTGACATCAGGGTTGGGGTAAGACTGAGAAAAATGGATAAATTATGTATACTGCATTGAAACAGATGAGGGAGAGAAAAATGTAAAAGCAATATATGATAGGTTATTATGGTTATCACAAATGTCCAGAATTAAGGTTGCATAGTGGAGTGTACTCAGGGTAGTGGGGGTGGGGGCTGTGGATAGATTGTATACCAATGAAAGAATTTTTCTTTTACTTTTAAAAGAGAGGAGTGAACTGGGGCGTGGGAGGCCTGGGCAGTGAGAAAAGTGCAACAATGAATGAATGGAAATCTAAAATCTCTGTAAATGTTCATTAAAATTAATAAAATAAAATTTAAAAAAAACACAAGAAACTATAATCTACCATATGAGGACGAAAATTTCAGATGCTGTCAACATGTTGAAGGGGCATATGAACAGAGTTCTTGAGATGAAACACAGAATCAGTGAAATAGAAGTTCGAATTGTCACCATTGGTCTGCTAGAACAAAAAGCAGAATCAAAAGGGAAAGAAAAAGAAGAAAGTGTAAAAATAATGTGAGATACCATGAAGAGGAATAACATGTGCATAATCAGAATCCCAGAACAGGAAGAAGCAGGTAAGGGCACTGAAAAAGTTGTGGAATAATTACTAGAAGAAAATGTTCCAGGCATAATGAAGACTGAGACAATATATATTCAAGAAGCTGAGCAAACACCATATTACATAGACCTCAAAAGGAAAACACCAAAAAAAAAAGGAAAACACCAAGGCATATATCATAGTCAAATTTGCCAGAACCAAAGGAGAGACTTCTGAAAGCAGCGAGGGAGAAACAAAGAGTAACCTATAAGGGAGAGCACATAAGATTAAGTGCCGATTTCTCAGTAGAAACCATGCGAGCAAGAAGACAGTAGAATGACATATATTGAACAATCAACACAACTGTCAGCCAAGAATATTGTACCAGCAAAACTGTCCATGAAATATAAAAGAGAGATCAAGATACTTTCAAAAAGGGGAACCTAAAGGAGTTCGTAAAAACAAGACCAGTGCTGCAGGAAACACTGAGAGATGTCCTTCTTACAGAGCTGCCACAGAAAGCAGAATGGACCAAAGTAGCAAGCAACAACACCAAAAAGAACTAAAAAAAATTTGATAGCAATAAAACTTTGCCTCTCAATAATTTTTTTACACACGATGTGGTTTAAATACACCACTGAAGAGAAAAAGAGTAGCAGATTGGATAAAAAGCCACAACCCATCAATATACTGTCTAGAAGAGATACACCTGAAAAGTGAAGATGAAGAAAGACTAAAAACAATATACCAAGCAAATGGCAATCAGAAAAAAGCAGGGTTAGTGATATTAATCTCTGATAAAATGTATTTCATTGCAAAAACCATCACAAAGGACAAGGAAGGTCACTATACAATGCTTAAAGGTCAAGAGGACATAACAATAATAAGTATGCACCAAATTATAGAGCTGAAAAATATACAAAGCAAACATTAACAAAACTGAAAAGTGAAATAGACACTACCATTATAATAGTAGCAGAATTCAGTACACCACTCTCCAGAAAAGATAGAACTACCGGAAAGAAACTGAACAAAGATGTTGACGAATTAAGCCATAAAATAAACAAACTTGATCTCATACACATATATAGGCGAATGAACCCCAAAAAGGTACAATATATCTTCGTCTGTAGTGTCTATGGAACGTTCTACAGAATGGATTATATTTTAGTCAGAAGGCAAGTACCAATAAATTAAAAACATAGAAATAATACAAAACATCTTCTCATACCACAAGGCTACCAAATTAAAAATGAAAAACAGGAATATAAAGGAGAAAAGAACAATGCATTTGGAAGCTGAGCTACACCTTTCTTGAACATAAGTTCAAGGAAGAAGAAATGAAAAATGAAATAAAGTTTCTTGAAACAAATGACAATGAAAACATAACTCATCAAAAATCTTTTGAAAATAGTCAAAGCAATAAACACAGGTCAATTTATAGCAATAAGCATATACATCAAAAGGCAAGAAAAAAATTATAATTGACTCTCTCACCCAACATCTCCAACATATTGAAAAAGAATAGCAAGTAAACCTGACACTCTCTAAACAAACTAAAATTATAAAAATTATTGCAGAAATAAATGAAATAGAAAGCAGAAAAACAACTGAAAACATCAACAAAACCAAGAGTTGATTTTTTGAAAAGTTCAGTAGAATCAAGAAAAGCCTAGCAGAACTAACAAAAGAAAAGAAAGAAAAGCCACAAATAGTTTGAATAAGAGATGAACACTGCAATCCCAAAGGTACACAGTTCGAATCCACCAAATGCTCTGCTGGAGAAGGAGGTACAATCAATCTCCTCCTGTACCTGTCAGATCCAATTTGATGGTGTACACACACACACACACACACACACACACACACACACACGTAAAATTTAGACATTTTTAAAAAAGAAGAGATAGAAGGGGTAATGTGACAAAAGAACCAACTAAAATAAAAATATTAACAATGAGATATTATGAAAAAGTGTACTTAAACAAATATGAAAACCTAGAAGAAATAAACAAATACTTAGAAACTCATGACCTACTTAACTTGACACACACTGAAAGTGAACACCTAAAGAGACCCATTACAAAAGAAGAAATTGAACAGGTAATAAAAAACTTCCAATAAAAAAAGCCCTGGATCAGATGGTTTTACTACTGAATTTTATCAAACATTCAGAGAAGAATTGTCACCAATTCTACAAAAAGTATTTCAGGAAACAGAAAAAGATGTAATTCTCCCAGACTCATTTTATAAAGCAAATATATCCTTAATACCAAAGGCAGGTAAAGACACCACCAAAATAGAAAATAATAGGTCAAAATCTGTTATGAACATAGATGCAAAAATTCTGAATAAAATCCTGGCCAATAAAAGCAAACAGTTGTTGTTATGTGTCATCAAATTTCCTGTGACTCATAGTGAGCCTATCTACAATAACCCTAAACCCTGCTCTATCCCTTGCCAATCTTACTGTCTCCAACACACCTATCCCCATTACCCCATTGACTGAATCAGTC